GGAAATGTACTTTTTTTCTAAATGACAACAATATGTCTACCAAATATGTACATTTTTCCCACTCATACAGGTCAGATGATCTAGTTCTAACAGTATAAATTTTATGTATACATGTTAAGCATTTTGTACTGGCTTAACCTCATCAGTAGAAGTTTATTCCTTTTTTTTATTCTCACTCTTTTTAAACATGATCTGAAACCCCTAGAGCAGCACATTGCATGGGAAGATGCGAAAACTCCTGGTAGCAAAAATATAGAAATCTGATGTGATAACAAAAGTGTTTTAGTATGTGATATTAAAATCCAATCCAGCCTCATTTTTATTCATGAGCATGAGGCAGTGATTTGCAACGAGATCTCAAAGGATATGCAGAACATTACCTTTTGTTTGTTTGTTTGTCTTTACAATATTAACTTAGTGGGTACAATTAAATAAAAGATCTTAAAATGTTGCAATCGATTTTTGTTGAAATATTTCTTATATCTAGATGGGGCTGTATATTTGTAATCTATTGTTAGATAACAAGTTACCACAAACTTAAAGGATCAAGATAACGTACATTTATTGTCCCAAAGATTCTCTGGGTCAGGAGACCAGTATTAGGTTAATGGTTTCTCTGCTTAGGGTCTTACAACGCTACAGTCAATGTGTCTGTTGGGTTCTCTCTTAGCTGGAGTCCTGATTCAAAAACTCATCAGCTTCCCAGGTCACTTAGGTGGTTGGTGGATTTTATTTCCTTGTGCTCTAGAAGCCTAGGCTTCTTGCTAGCTGTCACCTAGAAGCCACCCTTTCTTCATTGCCATGCAGCCCTTCCCACCTGGCCTTTTTACTTTTAAGAAAGCAAGAGGCTGAAGAGTGAGTCAGCTAGTGGAATGTAGTCTTAGAAACATAGCATAACCACAAGGGAAATTCCTTCATTGCTTCCATATTCTATTGCTTAGAAGCAAGTCACAGGTTTCACCTACACTCTAGGGGAGGAAATTATACCAAGGCATGCACATCAGGACAGTGGCAACCACAGAGCCACAGAATGGTAGGAAAAACCAAGGAGAATGTAGTTTAAAAGCCTCTCAAATTATACAAATACAGTCCTCTTTCCTTCAGAGAATCATTGTCCTCTACATGGCATTGGGGTTTTTTGTTTGTTTTCTTTTGTTTTGTTTTGTTTTGTTTTTCCTTAAAGCACACTTTTGGGCCTCTCTCTCAAATTCTCATCTGAATACATATCTGAAATCCACCCTAGTTTCACTTAATGAGAATGCCTAAGGAGAGGTCCCTGGAACCCACCCCTACATGTTAGACTAGCACAAACATGAAAGCATCTTACATACACCCATATTGACAGGATTAAAATTTCCAGCTCTATGTAATGCTTTTTCTTATAAATTTAATACAATTTTAACCCCAACAATTTCTCTAAATTTTGAGTTTTCCTTGGAAAAACAGTAATAGCAGTAGCAATATAACACAATGGGTTTTCAAAACACATTAACAAACTAAAATCTTTCCAGGATTCTAAGTCCTTAGAAACTTGAGAGGCCCCTCCTTTAGTTATTAATTTACTATATTAAAAAAACTACAGCAGCTGGACTTCCACCAAGATGGAGGTGTAGGTGGAAAAATTATGCCTTCTCGCACAACCAAGTTTAAAGACAACAAAGTTTTAGTAACAAAAATGCAACCAAAACACAGAAAATTGAACTACATGGAAGTCCGACAACAACATACCACTCAGCCAGACCGGTAAGAGGGGTGAAGCCAGCAGCAGAGCAGGGTCAGGCAGGAAAGATCCACCGACCGAGGCGCACGACCCAGGTGCACAGGCAGCCATGGGCGGATCCCAGGTGAGGAGTAGCAACAGGCGTGGCAGGCTGACTGTGGTCACACATTTGCATGGAGATAAACCAGCAAAGGAGCAAGCACTGAGACAGACCGTGCAGGCCCCAGTGGCGGGAAGGAGCAGAGGGGGCCACTATTGCCCCCCTTTGAGCCCACCCCCACATAGAGCATCACAAACCAGCGACCTGGGTGGCCCCACCCTGGTGAACACCTAAGGCTCTGCCCCTCATACTTAATAGGCATGAACAGACCAAAACATGGCTTGAGAAGAACTCAGAGACCCAGAACCCATAACTCTAAGCGACCAAGAAATAGCCAAACTTTCAGATGCACAGTTCAAAACACTGGTCATCAGGATGCTCACAGAACTGGTTGATTACAGTCACAAATTAGAGGAACATACGAAGGCTAAACTAATTGAAATGACAGGAAATGCACAGGAAACCAATAGTGATGGAAAGGAAACTGGGACTCAAATCAAGGGAGTGGACCAGAAGGAAGAAAAAAATAACCAAACAGAAAAATATGAAGAAACAAGAATTCAGAAAAATGAGGAGAGGCTTAGGAAACTTCAGGACATCTTTAAACATTCCAACATCCAAATTATAGGGGTACCAGAAGGAGAAGAGGAACAGCCACGAGTGGAAAACTTATTTGAACAAATAATAAGAGAGAATTTCTCCAATCTGGCAAAGGAAATACACTTCCAGGAAATCCAGGAAGCTCAGAGAGACCCAAAGAAGTTGGACCCAAGAAGGAACACACCAAGGCACATCATCATTACATTAGCCAAGATTAAAATAAAGGAGAGAATCCTAGAAGCAGCAAGAGATAAAGGGACAGTCACCTACAAAGGAGTTTCCATTGGACTGTCAGATGATTTCTCAAAAGAGACCTTATAGGCAAGAAGGGGCTGGAAAGAAGTATTCCAAGCCATGAAATCCAAAGACCTACAACCAAGATTGCTCTATCCAGCAAAGCTTTCATTTAGAATGGAAGGGCAGATAAAGTGCTTCTCAAATAAGATCAAGTTCAAGGAGGTCATCATCACCAAGCCTTATTATGTGAAATGTTAAAGGGACTTACCTAAGCAAAAGAAGATAAAAAAGATGAACAGTGAAAGGACAGCAAACTCACAGTTACTAAGAACCACACCTAAAACAAAAGCAAACTAAGAGGACAGCTAGATCAGGAGTGGAATCATAGAAATGAAGATCACATGGAGGGTTAGCAACAGGGGAGTGGGAGGAGGAGAATGGGGGAGAAGATACAGAAAACAAGTAGCATAGACAGTAGGTAGAAAATAGATAGGGGGGAGGGCAAGAATAGTATGGGAAATATAGAAGCTAAAGAACTTGAGACACGTGTTCATGAACTAAAGGGGGAAATGGTGGGGGAGGGGTGTGAAGGGTGGAGGGGAATGAAGGGGGGGGTGGAATAGAACAACTGTAATGGCACAATCAATAATAAAAAAAAGAAAATACCTACAGCCCTGACTGGTGTAGCTCAGTGGATTGAGCACGGGCCTGTGAACCAAAGGATCACAGTTCAATTCCCAGTCAGGGCACATGCCTGGGTTGCAGACCAGTTCCCAGCAGGGGACACACAAGAGGCAACCATACATTGATATTTCTCTGCGTCTCTTCTTCCCTTCCCCTCTAAAGATAAATAAAATCTTTATAAAAACAAACCTACAGACTATACTCACAATTGGGATACCCAAAATAAATGTATAGAATATTATGGGATCACTTTAACATGTAGAAATAATTCAAAGAATAAAGTAGGACAAAAGAAGTTTAAGAACTTCACCAGGCAATATCCTTTAGAAAAGAAAAGCCAGCACCAGAGAGAATCAATGGTGTTTTCCACATCAAAAGAGGCTAAAACAGGTGTCTTCTTTTTTGTTCAACCATGTGATCTATGTTAACACTAGTTCATAATTTTGTCTACCATTGACCTTTCTTCTTCCAACACCAAGCTTACAAAGGCCTTAGACAATACTTTTCCCCTTAAAGGTGAATCCAATTGATTATTACTATTTCAAAGTAGCTGCTTCAAGCAATTTTTTAGGTCCACAGCCTTAAAGAAGTGTCTGATCTTTGACTACTCTCTCGACTTGAGCATCATTTTCACTATAAAATTGTGTGCATTCTTAGAATTGGTTCTCATCTTCTATTAAAAAATTGTTTTTTCCCAGAAATGTATGATTTCCTATCTTCTCATCAGATTAAATGATCTTATCAAGTGTGATCTTTTAAAATTTCATCAATTTCCATTCTAGTCTTCAAAATGCTCTACTGGTAGACTAAAGATAAAAAACCTAAACCTCTTTGAAATAATACTTAAATAATTAAGTTTTCTTCTTTGAATATATAAACAGAGCATTTGTGTGTTATTTCATTAAAAATACTTACACTGTCTTTAAAGGAAAAATAATATTTCCAACTCTAAAATATCCAATATAAATTTTCAGGCCAAGTGGTAGGCAATGATTGGCAGAGTTACAGGACAAGATGCAGAAGGAACAAGTAGAGAAGAATGTAGACAAGATAAGCCAGCTCATCAGCCTTTATCACAGTTCTCAAATTGCAGTAAAATCTTCATTTACCAAGTCACTTGATTTTGTCCAAGCCAGCAAAGCAAGGAAAATGTTATGGAACTATCAGTACAAATATTCAAGAATGATTAGGTTATGGTTCTCATAATCATAACCAAAGAGAAATTATCTTTGGTCCCTTTTAATTTAGATTCAGTTGAGTAGATTTAGTAATCAGCATGAATTATTTTAGCTACTGTTTAGTTTTCTCTGTATCCGACATGTTTCCCGCACAGGGTGTTTTACTGTACATAATCTATTCAAACCTTTAGTTGGGCATCAATGCAGCACTAAGCAATATCTTGGCCATTTGGTTAAGTTACTGTTTTAGAACAACAAAGCTGTATAGTTTACAAGCTTCACTGGTTTACTGGTTTAGGAGAGCAGTTCTCAAACTTTTGGGTCTTTAAGTCTATTCTATAAAGGGAACAAAATACTATGTTTTGACAGATCCCGCCTCAGGTTTATTTGAGTGATAGCCCAGGAGGACACCAGCTTCCTGCGGCCAGCAGCCCTGGGGGCACACCAGTCCTTCTGTCCTCACATTGGTACACAGAGGTCTCTATTGTGGAGCTTTGGTGGGGGCCTGAGCACCTTTTGGAGCTGGAGTTGGAGTTGCACCCACAGCCTGGGGCTGGGTTTGAGCCTTGGCCTGGGACACTGGTGGGCAGAGCCTGACAACCTTGGTGATGGACACATAAGCATTTTTCCCAAGCTTGGGGGTAGCTATGTTGGCGAGTTGACTGAGCTTGCAGCTGCCACCCTTAAGAATCTTGGGCTTGACATTCTTGGGCTTTACCAAGGTGTTGATAGCCCCAGCATGTACACACATGGCCTTGGTATTGTTGGCCAGCATCTTCTATTGGCCTTTTTTGTGCTTTTGGAAAAATGTATATTTTACAGAAATTTGGGGTCCACTCCCTTAAGAGATTTTTATCTTCATGATCAGGGTTTCCTGATGTTGTTCTGATCCATTTTCAGGACTGGTTTTGCATGGTATGATTCTTGAGTTTGGTTGTATCTACACCGAAGACCAAGAAAAGGACAATTTTCTCTTTAATGTGGGCATCTCTCTAGATATTGACCAAATTAGAAACGAAAGGGTAATGTTGAAAATAGTTATTTATTCATTTAATCACTTTAAGCAAAATAATAAACTCTGTATACTGATATTAATAACTCCTTATATAGTAACATAACATATTTGGAACATGCAGTGAGAAGAATGTTATTGTTTTATTTTTTTGCAAATGCTTTTAATGCCTGGCTTAATAGAAGAGAGCTGGATTCTTTTATCTGGGTTCTGCACTCAATAGGACATGATATATATCATTTGGCTTCTGCAAAACTCCACTCATAGGAGAATAATAGTACAAAAAGTAAATAGCTTCTTAGTATTATTATAACCTCAAAGACCTCTTAAAAGGCTGTTGAGGTTGCCCAGGGATTTCTCTAACACACATTAAAAACTTCTGCTCTAGGATGATAAGGATAAAACACAGGCTTTTCTCAAAGGTGAACAAGGTATGATGTCTCATAAGCAACCTCAATAAAAGTAATAGATGTGCCCCAACTGTGCCCCCCAATCTCACTCTTTATATCATTTATTGTTAACAAGTACAGAAGTATGGAAAGAAGAAAATAATTTCCAATATACATTATTAAAAGGAAAAATGTTTTTGTAAGATTTTGGAGATATCTCTAATATATTTAACTTTAATAAATTAATTTATTAAATGAATATAAATATCCTATTGCTAGCAGGAAATAGATACTTGATTTCTCATGTCATAAAGTAGAAGACACATAAATGGTTTATAGAAACATTAAAAAGTTACGAGATATTTTCAAAATAGTTGAAACTAGCTTTTTGTGTTAATAGTGTTATTTCAGAATAATTCATAAAGGAAGATCCATTTTGAAGTGATACAATTATTTGATTTAAATTTTATACTAATCCACTTTTTCTAATTTAAAAACTAATTTAGGGAAACAGGACTGATGACTTTTAGTCAGTCGTCCCAGTTCCACTCTTCAGAGCACCCTTTGGCTAGAGTAATAAAAGTTAATAAAGGCTGGCTTTACTTAAGTAAGAAGCAGGTCAGAAGCACTGACAGAGGTTTCTAGCTTTTCTTAACATGAAGAAAGAAGGAGTCAGTTAATAAATGTGATTGTTTGTACATAAGAAGTGCAGTCCTTAACAGAGTGGCACAAGAATCCTCTCCAACTGAGTCTCATTTTACGTAGAAGAATATGGAGTTCAATGATAGAGAAATATATGTGATATCACGTACAAATTAAAAAAAAACATTTAAAATATTTTCCAAGTATGTCTTAATATTCCAAACCATCAAAGGCTAAAAACACAGTTAGGAGCGCATAAATGTGGCAGGTCTCAGAAAACAATTTATTGCCCTAATATTGATTAGTCTCAATTTATAGCAAGGTTCCCTTGCCTCTTTTTTCTTAAGGTATCTCTAAACCCTTTTATTATGAAATTACTATTCATTCGTAGTAGGATTATTTGGTATTTTTGCCACTATATGACTTTTTACATTTTAATTATTTAATAGTGATTATTTATTTGTGGGGCCGGCAATTCTAACAGAGCAGAAACTATTTTTATTTATATCTGAAATGCAATAATCTAAAAAAGTGATTGATGTGGAATTGATTATCAACACGATCAGGAGATGAAATGATGGCTCACAGCCTCTGCAAGAGGGTCTTTGCTGTCTTGTCTCTCTCATACTCTGACAACAAGCAGATACTTGTTCTCAGCGAGCCACTCTCCATTTTCAGGCTCTTTATTTTTCCTATTTAAAACTACATGGTAAACTACCTGGTTTCTAAGTTTTTCTCTAGATCCAACATTTTGGTTTTAATATTTATTTTGTTGCCAATCAGATGCACTAGTACTGTATTTGTTATAGTAGGTCTTCAAAAGTGATGCTTTTTGCCCTTATGTGATTTTTTTCAACTTGGCAATATTTACCATTATGAAAAAAAGTAACATGGTGGCAAAAATACAAAATAATCCGACTACAAATAAGTAGTGATTTAAAAGATAATTAGGACCACAACTTCCCATTTTGTTTAATGGCTTCATCACTGTCACTTGCTGGTCATTTTTTTTCAGGTACCATAAAAACTAAAATCCTTAACACTTTGGATTAACCAGCAATCTCATTTAGTGACACTGTACTCATGTCCCTTCCTGTCACAGGCTGCTTTGGGTGGCACTCTACATATTCTAAAGCTATTTACCAAGATGATTACATTCTAAATGTTTCTCCTGCTTCTAAAGCATTGAAATAATTCCACAGTTTCAAAAAATCAATTCGATGAGTATTTTATAATAGGACTTCTTTAAAATGGGCACTATTCAATACGAAAAAGGATAGGTATTCATAAAATAAAGTGGGGAAATTGCTTATAATGAAGGTAATCATGTGGCCTGGCATTCATTCCTTTTAAAAGCAAAACTTTGGGTTTTGTGTAAAGGAAATGGATAAGACATGCTTGGAGAAAACATGATATTTAAAAACACATGGTATTTCCACTATTTCAGAAACTTTCTCCTAGGATGTTTACTGATGTTTTTTCAGGAAACTATCTCTAAAAAACAGCAGGGAGTCGTGGTTAATAACTCGGGTCGTGTGAAACCACACAGCCTCAGTTCCAGTCTCCACTCTGCCTTTCTGGGCCTGTCTTTGGGTTAATTACTTAATTCTTCCTTACTTTGGTTTCTCTGTATTTAAAGTAGGGTTAATAATAGTACCTATATCACAGTCCTGCTGTAAAAATTAATGTTAATTGTAAAGGGCTTATAAAAGTTCTAGGCATATGGTTAACTCATTCTGAGTGCTTGGTTAACAAATAAATATGATAATAATGGCTTTCTATGTATACCTGGATATAGCAGGAAAAATTCACCCTATAACAAAACTAAACACATTGCATAAAATAGAGTTTATGATGGCCAACTGGCTAAATGGGGAAAGCCACACAGACAAAAATAGTGACTAAAAAGGACTATGGAGAAAACAAACCATGTCCACGTGCCATATACAGCTAATAGTCCAAATGGGTAAGCAGAATCGTCTAACTTTCTGTGATATGCACAAGCAGCAGTACATGTCCGCAGCTTGTTTTAAGGCATGCAATTTTAAAGTGCTCCAAAACTATCTATAGGATTTTTTGTAAAAAAAAATAATAAATGCCTGGCTGGTGTAGCTCAGTGGATTGAGCGTGGCCCTGCGAACCACAGGATCGAGGTTCGATTCCAAGTCAGGGTACATGCCTGGGTTGCAGGCCAGTTCCCTGCAGGCTATTTCCCAGCAGGGGAAGCACTAGAGGCAGACATAAATTGATGTTTCTCTCCCTCTCTCCTTCCCTTCCCCTCTACAGATAGATAAATAAAATCTTTAAAAAAAAGTAAAATAAATAAATAAATAAGTGAACTGTTCTGTGTTTCAAATGAAATATCAAATGTAATGTTGGACATGTTTCCTATCATGGAAATGCTTTGTCTTATATTTCACACCTGGATAAAAAATAAAGAAGCACTTTCATGTGTGGAACACTAAGAACTTCAGGTTTGCATGGATGCAGGATAATTTCATAACAAAGTACAGAATGACAAGCTTGGACAGTTTGCCACCAACTATAATTACTTCTAAAAGAACACATGAAAAGAACATTTTGATAAAGACAATTTTATAGGAGAGACTAAAACAAAGTATTTGAAAAGAAAATGAGGGGGGAAATGATACTGAACTGAGAGGCATAATCATGAGTTCTATAAGCAAGTTTGGTAAAAAATAAATCCAAAAGAGTGAAGATAAATTGTAGGAAGTCTGAGGCAAAAAGAGGTTTCAGATTTTGAAAGAAAGAGAGAAAGAAGGGTTAAAAGGACATTAAGATATCAAAGCTTACTGTGTATAGCAGGGAGAATTTGGAGGAGAAAGAATGTCACATAGATAAATATATATGTGCAATTAAAAAGGCTTGATTGATAAAGACAAGAAGATATGCTCAAATATTCATGTATTTATTTTAAAATTATTTTACTTTATTTTTTAATTACAGTTAACACACAGAATTAAATTACTTTCAACTGTACACCCCAGTGATTAGACATTATATACTAAGTGATCATCCTGATAAATCTTGTACCCTTCTGACACCATACATAGTTACTAGAATATTATTAATTATACTCCTTATGTGTACGTTACATCCCATGACTATTCAATAACTACCAGTATGTAGTTTTAAATCCCTTTACCTTTTCCATTCACCTCTCCAGCCCCCTCCCCTCTGGCAATCATCAAAATGTTCTCTGTATCTATGAGTCTGTTTCTGCTCTGCTTGTACATTTATTTTGATTTTTAGATTCAGTTGTTGGTAAATATGTATTTGTTTCCATTTTAGTATGCGTATCTTTTCTCCTCCTCCTCATTCTTTCCCATCTTTCTTCTCTTTCCCTTCTCCTCCTCCTCCTTAAAGAAGACCCTTTAATATTTCACATAATACTTGTTTGGTGGTGAAGAACTCCTTTAGTTTTTTTAAAAAAAATTGGAGTTCAACAACACAATGATTTTTACATATAGGTTTTAATTATTTTAGAAATATAACAAATAAACCAAAAAAGAAGATTAAAAATAGGATCATTAAAGTGGAAGAAATTTAAGTATTGTTCAATTAAATCTGATTTCAGAGATTAGGGAAATGAGGCTTAGAAAAATGTGACTGCTTGCTTAACGTCACCAATCAGTTAACAGAACTGGAACCTGGATCCAATCACTTGATTCATTGGGTCAATGCTCTTTATAGTACACCTGCCTGACCTAT